GTATATGCCATTCCGAAAGCTCCCACCCCAGCTGATTTGGCCAAATTGATTACAGAAGGCAAAGAATAATTATAGATTGATTCTTGTTGAGCAGAAAGGGAAAAAAAAACACGCTTAAAAATTTACAGACAACTATCAAGATTTTCAAATTGATAACATTTCCACATTTGGGATAAATTATTGATTTTTATTTTTTAAAATATTCTAGCGGCCTACTTTTGATTTTAATTTATCTTAAATGATTTTCTTTGTGCTTTGATTTTTAAATTATTATGAACTCTGGTAAATTTTCTTGGTACTGAGAAAAGAATTTTTCAAACTTAAGAACGGCATGAATAGTTTCCTTCGTTTTTTTACCTCCCATCTCAAAGAACATCATAAATTTGACTAAACAGAATTGCAGTATGGAAAATGTTTCACCTTACTTTTATAGGTGGCAAGCTATTTTGCACTTGAAATATCAATCAATCAGAACACACAGCCTCAAGATGAAATATACTTGAATAATCTCTGAATTCTGATTGGTTAATAATTACACCTTGTCAAAAGCTGACATTTCAAAAGAATAATTTTCTGAAGAGTTTAAAAGATGAAAATCTCTAAATATTTAAATAGATCAGCCCAACTGAGAGGATAAAAATTCTTGGGTGATGTTATTAGTTATTTCAACCATTTTGATTGAATTTTTGTTTCCAAACTAAAGTCATCACCACCTCTGCCCATGATGAAAGAGAGTTACAGCATAAATCTGAGTTGTCATTTGACATTCCATATTTTCTGATTTTGGAAAAACTATAAATGTTGTTTGAAGTTTTTAAAATGTTATTCTCACCATAAAAATTGTAATTTATTATATACTAGTTGATTTACCCCATATTTCCGGGGTCTAAAAAAAATGAGTTTTTGCCCTCAAGATTATTATTTTATCCCATCACAAACTGAACATCATTATGATATATTTCTATTTGAATTTCTGGGATGATGAGTTATCATTGTTCACACTATTTATATTTGGACTATTGTCCTCATCTTTGTTGTTATTATCACAATGCTTCAGTTGTTGTTCCCTCCGGCCTTCCTCAGTTGTACAGGGAAATCTGAACTGAACATTTTATTTCATCTGTTGGGGTAGACTGTTCTCATTCCACTGCCCATGTCTAGGGATATCTTGTCTAGTTCTTATTTTTAGTACTGCTCACTTATTGCTTACCCCATTTCCACTGAGTCCAAGTCCACACTGCCTGTCCCAAGGATTGAACTCACATCCACTATGTCACTAAATTCATGAATCAATGCTTTTTTAATCCACGAGGCTGTTGTTCTGAACTTGCAGCCTTAAATATAACCATCCCTGTTGATTAGTACTGCTGGCTGTCATGCTGTGACAATGCTTCTGTCAATGTTTTTCTCTCTTTATTAATGGCTCCCATTTCATATTTATTTCTATGCTGGGCCTACTAAGGAGATTCTCATAGTCTAGCATATGCACTGATTCTTTCAGATGTCTAACTCTCCAGGGTTCCTCCTTGTCCAGTATTTTCCCTTCAGTCCACGGGGACTGATGACTACCTTTTTCCCTCCACATATAGATGATGTCCTTCAACATGGCTAGTGAAATGAGAACAGTCTAGCAATGGAGATTAAATAAAGAGTTCAGTTCAGTTCAGAATTGTTTGTAGGTTATCCAGATCAATATACACTGGAGGAAGGTCGGAAAGCACAATGACCAAAACATTGTGATAACAACAACAAAGATGAGGACAATAATTTATGGCTTAATTCTTTGTCAATTCAGGCATTTTAGATAATATTGTTTTATTTGATCCCATAAGCATGCAGCCAGTTTCCTGAATCTGTGATATCCTTAAAAGATATACATTTTTTATGTATTTTTTTTTAAATTTGGAAAAATTTTGATGTAATTTTTGTTTTTTTAAAGAAATTGTATTATTTTGAAAAATGTTTCTGCCAGTTATCATTATTTATGTCCGAGCTCATCTTTGTTTTTTATTATCACAATGCTTCACCCATTGAGCCCTTCATTAGGCATTTTGAAGATCTGGGTAACCTTCAGGGAATTTCAAACTGAAACCTTTATTTAATCTACAACAGTGTTTCCCAAATATTTGGGGTCGCTGCCTCTTTGCATAGCAACCCCCCTTGCCCCCCCAATGTATGGACACAACCCTAGCACCCCCCAATGTATAGACACCACACTAGCACCCCCCAATATAGAGACACAACCCTAGCCTGCCCCCACTGTATAGACACAACCTTAGCTCCTCAATGCATAGACACAAACCTAGCCCCTCCCCCTCCACCAATTTATTCTTCTTGGTGCCAGTATTGCATGTTAAATATGTGTCTTAGTATTTCCCATGATAATTGTTATGTAAATATGGGATACACTGTAAAGTGAAGGTGAGGTACACTAGGTACAATGGGTGTACGTGTATGTGGTGTATATCATTATTCAAATGTGACACTTCCACTCTCTGTCTACCTCAAGGGCCTCTGATTGGGAGATGAGAGGTTTTGAGGATCATGGGACCATGTCTTAATTGTTGTTGTTCCCAGGTCTATGTTGACCTGGGGTGGTAGCACCTGTTGGGGTCTCAGCTATGGGCAAATAGTGAGCCTTTTCCAAACAAAAACAAAACGATGAAAGTGTAAAAATACCAGTGATACATTTTTTTTTCATAGTGAAATAACCAAATTCTTTAATCCACTTAGCTATTGTCCCCAGGCAGGATAGATGCACAATTAGTTGGGACAAAGTGAGCAATACTAAAATAAGAACAAGATGGGATATCCCTAGACATGGACAGTGGAATGAGAGCTGTCTGCCTTGTAGATTAAATAAAGGGTTCAGTATGAAATTTCCTGGAGATTACCTGCAGTGACAAACACCTGAAGAAGGCTGGAGAGCAGAACTATTGAAACATTGTGATGGTAACAAGGAAGTTGAGAAATGTTATTAAAAGTTTTTTGTTTTTAAATGTACTGTACTTGGTCATCCAGCCTGTAAAATCTGGTCAACCCTACTACTAGATTTTTTTAAAATAATAAAGTGTTCACTTTTAATTATTTTAAAAATAAAATGTTGGGAAATCAATTGATAGAACCCACCTGACAATACCAAAAGGTTGAAACCAAGGTAGCAGAATTAAATGATTTCCTAATTTTTTTTATATATATATATATATATATATATATATATATATATATATATATATATATATATTTTTTTTCCTTGCAAAAAAATCCAAAATCACCTCATGTGGATATAGTCTATTTCAGATCAGCATAACAATGCCAATCTTCATCGGCCATGGATGCCTTTTGGAATGTCTGTCTGGACTTGTGGCTTTAAATTGTTACACAGTCCTACTCAGAGGGACACCTAGTTTTTGATAAGGTGCTTGTATTGGTGACAAGCGGAGGTCGTAAAGTATCTCTTTAAGGGTAAGTGGCCTGGGGGTCATCGTTTATTTATGTCCCTAGACTTGTATGTAAATGGATTTCAGTTCCTGCTATGGAATGTTACTCTATGCCAACAACAGGTCTGTTTTATTAGAATTTACAGTAAATGGTATTTAGACAATAACAGTTTAATATTATTAATATGTTGATGAGGGAATTTAAATATAAAAAAAAAATTAAAATTAAGATAAATTAGTTGAGTGATAGATTCATAATTCTGTGAGTAACACCGAAACATCCAATTGAATAAATCATGCTGTACAACCCACATACACATACCCATGCACACATGTACATTTATATACATCTACAAATATGTACCCATATGCACATGTATACTGACACATACGTACATATGTACCATTCAATTACACCATTTGGGATCAGTTAAAATATTAGGAATACTAAGCTGCATCCGGAATTCTGCAAGAGGAAGATATTAAATTAGAATTTAATCACAGGGGGTTGCATCAGTTTTGGGACTGTATTTTTGGGTGGGGGGAGAGTTAGTAAATAATAACGTAAAATCTATATTCTTATATAAGTTTGAACTTACTCCTGTGCATATAAAAAAAAAAAATAGTCCTCAAGCTGATGCAACCCCTTGTAATTAAATTTTAATTTAATATCTTCCTATTTTATTATCTGTCTATATTTCTGAGATGAGGTATTATGTACACTATTTACATTATTCGGACTATTGTCCCCATCTTTGTCACCATATTTATTACAATGTTTTTGCCATTGTACTCTCTGGCCTTCTTCAGGTCGTTGGAATGTCAAACTGGACCCTTTATTTTGCTCACTGGGGTAGACTGTTCTGATCTTATGTTTAGTAAATTCTTTTGTTGGGTATGAGAAATTATTGCTACCCTTTTGTGTAGGCAAAGTAGGCATTTCTTTGTAATGTTGTTTTAAGCAGGTGCATTTTTTCAATATTTTCTAGCTTATTCTTGGTGTAATATTTCTGTCTCTTAGATGCCATATGTATGTGGATAGTGTAGTGCTGTTTGAGTATTTTCTGTTGGAGAATGAAAGGTCATGGTTCTTTTTTTCTCTTCTTGAATGGACCCTCAGTGGTACATTGTGTTGTTGCTTGCACTTGCCTTGGCTTTATATATTATATTCATTTGTTGGAAATTTCCCTGGAGTGGACATGTTGTTCTATATTTGCAGTTGCATTGAGGTTTCTTGGTTGCATTATTGTAGAATGTTATTTTTTTGTTGTGCCTTTTTATTATTAGTGTTATATTTTTTGTGTAGTTGTAACTGATTTTAACGTTATTTTTGTTGAATATTTTTGCTAATTGGTTTGTTTCATGGAAGTGTTTTTCTATTATGTTTTTGAATGTCCTTCATTATATATATATATATACACACACACACACACACATATATATATATATATATATATATATATATATATATATATATATATATATATATATATATAGTTTTATATATATATGATAATATATTCAAAAATTATAATATATAAAATGTTATAAAATCACTAC